GGCCTTGGTTTTAAATACGTTCGCCTTTCATAAGGAAAATCATTAAGACTAGCATCATATAGATCTATTTCTGTTCACTCAGTTCGTTGAACAAAGTTTGCCAGATGATTTATAGTTTCAACCATTGTATGTAGAAATAAAGCTGATTAAAGGGTTTTAAAATGTAATCAATACCGTAAGAGTTCTCTGGAATACTTTAGGGAAACATTCAGCGAGTTTTTCTGGAAGGATTAGAACATAAAAAAATGCATGTATAGAATAGATTCTGAAGACAAAAGAAATACAATTGAATCCTGATAAAGCGAAATTATCGAGCGTAGGGAAAAAATTACCAAATATTTGGAATAAATTGTATTTATTGTATTTTTATTAATACATTACACGTTTTGATAAAAATTATCCGCAGAGATGTCGGGTTGAATACACAGTTCAGCAAGCAGCCAAATCAGCGCCTGGTTCGCGTCTGCAATACAATTAACGTCAGTACGAGCACTCGCGCGTCAATACCCTCCCAATTAGAGGGGACGAATCTGTGTTGGACAGCAGGCAAAACTTCGAGAATAATGTAAAAAGCGCATAAAATCATCGTAAAAAAAAGACCAGCGTAATTACATTTAACGCTGAGCTTTAGTCGATGTGTTTTAAACACCCTCAGGCCCACAGACATGGTGACGATCAGTGGTCAAAACAACTTGCAAATCAATTTTTCTTTGCCAAAAAACTTGAGACAGTTTTCGGCTGATAGGGCTAAGGAATAATAGGGTCTCATAAGGTAAATGAAAGGAAGAAACGGGAGAATGTTCCTTCATACATCTCTCATATTCTCCTTCAGTCGGTAAACATTAAATTCTTCAGATTCAATTGCAAATTTTTGAGACAATTATCAAAGTACAGACTGTACATGGATAATATTTCTACAAGTTCTAACCAATGACGGAACTGAGCTGTCAGTCATGAGATGGAAGTATGTGTTTGCTCTTTCCATTTCAAGTGATCATTGGTTATTTCAAAGAAAATAACAGGAGCAAAGACGCATTGATCTCAACAATAATATGATATCCGTCATCAAAACGTGCTGTTCAATTTCAATTCAAATGTGCAGAGGAGTTTCCTGGGATACGAGCGTGGCTGAAAGGCATCATGACACCGTCATGATTAGTTATGAGTGAGTTGTGGGAATAATAAGTTGATAGGCGCCTTTTCCAGTGGTTGTAAGCAGTTGAGGAGCTTTGTCTTGGTGCAAATTCCTGATTTAGAGGATTTCCATTGTCGCGTTTTTCACGGTCCACACGCGTGAACTTGCGTTTAAAAATTTAAGTACCTTGAAATTAACGTTTACGTACGTTGACTAAACGCTGTCATATTTCCACTTCCACGTTTTCTTCAAGACGTTTACGTGCGTGTTACGCACGTAGCAATAGTAGAGGTGCAGAGAAGAGTTTAACAGCTTTTACGGGCCGGCCAATGTTTTTGCACGCGATTTTTACGCAACAGTGGAAATTACTTACGCAGGTTTTCTGCACGCGCGTCAAAGTTTACTTACGGAAAAACTTATGCAACACTGGAAACACACCTTTATTACTCCAGCAGCACTTAATAAACGGCTTTTAAGGAAGCCAAATTGGTTAAAAGCTCCCACGCGTGTTTTTCCCCAAAAGAAAGCTAACTGAAAATCTGCAGGAAAATCCGGCGAAAATTGAGTAGTAGACAATCTAATCTTTCGTTATGATATCCTGAATATTCAGAACGATTTCAACTTTCTCTGATGTTAAAACAGTATCTTTAAACCACAAAATTGTTTGAAAGATTGACTGAATTCAGTTTGCCGAAAAAAAAAACTTAGCATTTGCAGAAAGTTTGGATTCTAAGTTGTTTGTTGTTATGTAGACAAGCTGTGTTTGTCAAGTCAGTTGCAGGTGGTTGTTTCTGGAAGTCGAAAAGCCTCTGATTAAATTCGTCCTGGGATAAGTTGGTAATCTGCTTTTCTATGTTGGGGTTCAGTGTTTTCCTTTAGTTGCAAATTCTCATACAGCTTTTGTTTCTTTATTCCTTTCTTTTAGGTTGGAACTCTTATCTGAGAGTAAACTCTTGAAACACGACGTGTACAGGGCGAATTGGAGTGTAACGCTGAAAACGTTTAATCAATGAAAACACAATAGTGAGTCGAGCCAAGAGGAAATAAATTGTTTTTTTTTTCAGGAGCCCGACTAATAATAGGTTTTCACTGTTTCTTGATCTGATATCAAGACTGACGTTCGTCAAACTTGTGCCAGCAACATTTTTAATAAAGCTTTGAACTTTTCTTATGTACACATAATTTTATTAGACATTCAAATCAATCTGCATTTTCGAAAAGAAGGTAAAGGAATAAAATTCAGCCACCAGCTGACCGCTCTTTACCCTTCCACATCTCATCAGCAAATTCTGAAGTCCGTGATAAACGGATGTACGATTGCTCGTTTAATCTGTCTCGGAGCGGTGGAAATACAGGGGTCAGACTTATTCCATAATGAAATATTTACGACAACAGCCTTCACCGGCCGCAAGATTTGCTCATTTGAAGATGCAGAGGTAGTGCTTGAAGCGATCTCGCTGTATACATACATTAATTTTTATTTCGATTTTAAACGTTGTTATCATGTAATAAAAAGACTGAGCATATATATAGGCTCTACCCTCACATTTATGTACATTAATAAAATATATATATATATATATAAATATTATGAGAGGAAAAAAGGACGTAACTACATTTCCCGACAAGCCTGTTTCGTGAATCGCTTCACTCTTCAGGGGTTTAATCTATATATATATATAT